CTAAGGGCTGGTAGTGAGTTTTCAAAACGTAAAATGGTTAAGGCTCAAAATATCCTGACCCTGCCCTCAACGATTCAAAATAGCTCGACGCATAGTGTGAGCAAAAAAGTCAAGAAATTGGCTACCTCAAAATCGCTAAGGGCTGGTGGTGAGTTTTCAAAACCTGAAATGTTTAAGGCTCAAAATTGCCTAACCCTGCCTTCGACGATCCAAAATAGCTCGACGCATAGCGGTGAGCAAAAAAGTCAAGAATTGGCTAGCTCAAAATCGCTGAGAGCTGGTGGTGAGTTTTCAAAACGTGAAATGGTTAAGGCTCAAAATCACCCGACCCTGGCCTAGACGATCCAAAATAGCTCGACGCATAGCGGTGAACAAAAAAGTCAAGAAATTGACTAGCTCAAAATTGCTCTAAGGGAGGGTGGAGAGTTTTTAAAACCTAAAATGGTTAAGGCTCAAATTACCGGACTCGGCATTCAACATTAAACATTTGAATATTTCAAGCGATGCATCGGAATGACCTGTCGACGAGTGAAAAACTTTCGTCGACCAACCAAAAAGCAGGTCGATGGTCGACCAGCTAGGCAGGTAGACGTCGACCCGCAAGGCTGGTCGACATCGACCAGCTTGACTGTATGATGGTCGACCAGCTTTGTTGGTCGATTGTCGATCATCAAGTAACTGGCCGCGCCTGTCGACGAATGAGGTTCCCTTACCACCATTCTCTTCAGATGCAGAAGATATAAAATTTGTATACACGATAGAGGTGGAGTTTTAATTTTTTTGGGAAAAATTCTACCCCAAAACTCAAACTCGATAATGGGGTGCCACTTGTATGGTATTTTCCCACTCTACGAAAATTAAACAGATCGACCTGCATATAATGAATGTCGACACCAAAAGAAAAAATTTAAGCAATACGGAAGAAGTGAAGATGTTATCCCTGGCCGATAAACATCGACAAGGGATAGAGGGGCTAGTGATACATGATGTCATTAATAATTATACAAAATG